TTGTTATTTACAGCACACATTTGGAAACTCATTCGGATTCTAGGTTCAAAGAAGATAAGGCTGTAAGATGTGCTGAAAACGATTGCTTCCATGCATTAAAATGCAATATGCAAACATGAAAGAATTTATCAAAAACACCGGGATAAGCAAAAAATCAAGCTAGCTAATCTTCAGTGGCAAATAAAACATAAGTGTTCTGAGGAACTCAGACTCGGTCTAAGAATATTGATGGTAAAGACGAATAAAAGCGGCTTCGGATATAAATATACATAAATGCATATGTTAGTAATTTACATATAACAATAAAAATTACGGAAGAATTGCAGTGACACAAGCCGAAGATGGAATTCCGCTTTTAGCCCCAGAAAGACTTTTTGTGAGATGATGAACAGCAGCCTTTGCCATACCATATCCAACCATATCTTTACATATTAGACTAAGTTAAATTTACCAGGTGTTGCTGTGAGTGCTGCCTGGGCACCCGTAAAAACAAGGACGCCATCTGAGGCCAAATGATTAGCGGCGATAGACGAAGCGATACATGAAGACCAGACACTTTGTTTCCACATAAGATCACAGTTCTTGAGATAATCTTTACTTATAGCGTTTCCACCGGCCCATCCTCCAGCGACACAAAATATGCCATCAAGCCTTTCAGTATCTTTGATGATTTCTCTGATTGATTCAAGTACTTGTTTGCTTTGCTCTTCAAATGACTCTGATGGCCTTACGACAACATTCTCATCAGCTGTATTGTTCTCACCCAAATCAATAGAACACACCCACTAAAAATAAATTGCATGTAGACCTACGTAACCAAAGGATTTCAAATGATTAACACAGACAGAGCCCAGAGCGCCCTTGCCGCCATAGACGAGAGCACGAGGCATGGGTAGAAGGAAATCGTAAAGAGGGTGTAAGAGTGTAAATAAGAAATAGCTGCAACAAACTAGATGTTAGTGAATTTAAATAAAATGAAACTTTTATGCGAAAGTGCATTAAAATAATTTTACTAGTAAGATATTATAATTTTTCTAAACAAGTAAAGCGCTTGACAAATGTCTCTCAACTACATGATTATTA